CTACATCTCTTATGCACCCATTTCTGACATCCTATTCACAATACCGAGTTAGCCTTCACTCTCCTATCACATACCCCACAGGGGTCTATTTTACTTATCACTCGTTCCCCACCTTCCCCACTCACCATTACCTTCGTCTTACCAATATTAACTTTTAACCCTTTCTTTTCAATAACACTTTTCCATCTGTCAAATTTTAACTGCAATTCTTCCATGCTATCAGTCATCAAGACTAAATCATCTGCATACAAAATCTCAAATAACAACCCCTCCATTATGTTTCCACACACAACATCCATCACAATTGCAAACAGAAACGGTGATAACACTGATCCTTGATGCACTCCTACCTTAACACTAAAAGCGTCCGACACCCCCCTTCCAACCCTCACCTTTGTCTTTGCCCCTTCATACAGCTGCATCACAGCTTTAACAAGTCTCTCATTCACTCCTTTCTTCCTCAACGCCCAATCAATGACCTTCCTCGGTACTCGATCAAAAGCCTTTTCTAGATCCACAAAACACATGTACAATCTTCGTTTCTTCTTTCTATAATTCTCCTGCAACATTCTCGCCATGAACAACGCATCCACCGTTCCCCTACCAGGCATAAACCCACACTGCATTTCATTAACTGTCACCATACTTCTCAACCTCCTCTCAAGCACCCTCTCCACTACCTTCATTACTACTTTAACTCCACGGTTCGTTCAATAAAATTTTTATCCACGATATATATATATATATATATATATATATATATATATATATAGAAATATTTATTTATATAGCGCAAATTATATATATATATATCGTATGATGGAAATTTTGCTGAAAAAAGCTTTTTTGTTGTAATTATACTACTTTAATTTCATTAGTTTTTATTTAATATTTTTCATTAGTTTTTTTTTATTGTAATAGGTTATTTTTAAATTAATTAAAATAAAATGATTATTATAAAACATTTTGTTAGTTTAAATAACAAAATGTTTTATAATATTCATTTTATTGCAATTAATTTGAAAATAACATATCTAAATACAAATAAATTAATGAAATATATTAAATAAAAACTAATAAAATTAAAAAAGCTGAAATTTATTTTGAAAAATAGTTTTTAGAAAATTTACGATATTGAATTTTTATACAATATCATTTAAGTTTAGTTGGTGTAAACAAGTTTTGTCAAAATTCATACAAACAAGGAATGATGGTATAAGTTTTATCAAAAACTTTACATATGACATTAATTTTTTTCAATTTATGGAATGCTTTTTAAGAAAATTAACTACACAGTAGCCCAGCGTCACATCTCACGTTTTTTAATTCCAATTTTTTATCATAACTACTCGACATTTTTCAATATTTTTTTACAAAGTGAATATTATTTGATCGATCAAATTTAAAAATTATTTTATACTTTCAAGTTCAATAAAAAAACTTATAATATTTAACTTTGAAACTTCAACAGTAAGCATTACCACCCACTGAGTTTGAAAGTTTGATTCTATCAAAAATTAAAAAGAATGGCTTCAGTAAGAATAAGACAGAAAGAAAGCAATCATATTCTTCAATTCATACGTGTGACGGACAACTGTGGGAACTTTATGAATCCATGGAAAAAATAATGTAGAATATAATAGAATATAAAAGTATAAAACCAAAATGTTATGCGACAGACATATTTTTTTTCTAAATAATAACGAATCTCATAAAAACGTATAATTTAATTGTAAATGCAATAGCTAGAGTTAATTCATCAAAGAGTGGATAGTTAAAAGGAGAAGATGGTTTGACCATACTCCTCCAACAATGTCCTCTTCTCAGAAATCAATTTTTGACTCAATACTTTAATTTTTTCAAATAATTTAAATTCTAATTTGTATACTGTATTTTTGAAAAAACAAAATCAAGAATTTTCTTTGAAACTATGGTCGTTGAAGGGTAGGCAGAAATGATGATGAAATGAAATCATGTGAACATTCCACATGCTTAGATAAAAATTTAGGAAGATTACAATTAACGCATATTTCCTATAGATGGCAAGTTAGAATATAACCAATATTTAACGTAGAAAATTAGAGTTTAGATAAATCACGGTGTGGAAAACGAAAGCTTGTACTGTAAAAAAGATGATGGATGCACTGTTGTACATGTTTGAGATGTTGCCCGAATAAGGAATTTGTGCTGAGAAGTGAGACGTGTAGAAAATGCAAATTTTGTGTGTAAATCATGCATTTTTTACAAAGGTCACGGTGATAATTATTTAAAGATATAATAAGCTTTTATTGTTCTAAATAAAACGAATAATAATAAAAAACGAACAAAACGTCTTAAAAGATTGGTTTTTATAGTAGAAATTAACAGTGTGTTGAACATTACATTTCTGGTTACATAAAAATATTGCAATCGCTTAGATTCTTTGTATTATTAAAAATCTTTAGTCTTTTAAAATTAAAGCAAAATAAACTAAAAACTAAATATCATAAAAGTCGGCGAGTTAGCTCAGTCGGTAGAAGTGTCATGTCGCGATAGCCTCGTTCGAATGTCCAAAACTCAAAAATTATCATAATCCAAGCGTAAGTGATGCGGTGCTTGCCGTGTACACATCTGTATGTAAGTCGTGTGGTGCGGATGGTTAAGCCTCTGTGACATGAAGGTTTAAATGTAAGAATATGTAAGCAGTTCTGTCTATGTTAAAATTGCTTAATGAAGAATACAAAAATGTATATTGCCTGCATTGAAAGCTCTTGAAAGTAGAAGTAGTTTGTGAGCGTAAGACTTTTATGGTTGTAACCTTATGTATTTTCTTTTGTTTAAAATTGAAAAAATTACAAATGTAAACAAAACACTACTACTATTAAATTTTAAATGAGCAAATTGGTAGCACTTGATAAATCTGAGATAAGAATTGAAAAAATATGAATCGAATTAAAAATTTGGTAACACTAACAACTTCGTCCAACAAATTGATTCCTTTCCGAGATGGAGATTGGGCCGCTGATCCATGACGACTGTTGCCATGTGAACTTGCATACGAGTTCAACAACGTTTCTGAAGAAATATCGATCTTAGCCTTGGAATAAGCAGCAAAGTTTATTGGAGCAGTCGGTTCATGCGAACCTTCCCCTGGAATGGAGAGTGACACCTGCGCGGAGACACAACAGAAAACCATTCACTTCATAAGGTAAACAAAAAAACATGTCAAAACCTTGCCATCTAAAAACCATGGCAACAAATTATTTTTCAAGGCATAATTTCCCGGGTGTGAATGACGTTGAATTGTGAACAATGCCGAGCTTGAGCTTTCAAGTTTTTAGGACATCCAGTGGGATCAAGAATTGAAATGAATTCGTCAAAAGTAAAGAGTTCCAGAAATTGGTTAGAAATTTTAATTATTCTTAAGCATTTTTGCCAGCCAAGCTTCAAATATGTACCCAATCACTGAGCTGACAAAGAAGTCATCGTCAAATGACATAACGTGGTCCACAGATCATCAGAAAGCATTGAATTGCATGATTCTAAATCTGAAGAAAGCAACAAATTTGACCATAGACTACAGTAAAGAATTTGGATTGATAACAGACGTCAACGAAAATGCAGTAGGCTGCAAGGTAATGTTTGTCTGTCAGGGTAATTTATTATAGTAATGTATGCAAGTGGACAGATAAATGCCACCGAGATTTTGTTTCATATCAGCCAGATGATGCCGGTACTTAAAATTAGATCGAAACTTCATTATATCAGATGCTATAGATAAACACCCTATTGACGTTTAATGGATATCTCAATCTTTTTTCATCTATCACCATTCAAAAATTGATCAACTAATAAAATAGTTGCTAAGCCAACGGTGCTGTTCAATCAGAATGTCGGGGTCGGAGTCGATCGGAGTCGGAGATTTTGGCCGGAGTCGGATTTTTTTCCGACTCCGGAACATGTTATTTTTTTCTGAAAATTTTTTTTTCTGAAAATTTTTTAAGATTGTGTTTTTTAAAGGATAAATGTATGTAGCGATAAGCTCATCGTTAACACTGAAAATAAATGCTAATAATGCGAAAAAAATCACGTAATTTTTTCAGTATGTTGTAAAACATAAAAATAAAGTAATTTTAATTAGAAAAACAATTACATTGTCAGATTTCAAGTGTTTTTAGATTTTTTTTTAATTTAGCAGTGATAATAAGATAAAATTATGATGCAAAAGTTGAAAATTTTTTTTGGAATTCGGAACCCGTAGTCGGATATATTTGAAGGACTTGAGTCGGAAACGCACACTGGTTTTCGATAGAATTCAAAAAATTAAAGTTTACTGCTACCCAAAATATTTAAGCAAAATTTTCAATTATTTATATACAAAAAATACCAAAACATCCAGAGTCGTTTCAGAAGTTAGAAATTAGTTAAATAAGTAGATAAGTATTTAAAACCTGTTTGTTTGCAGGATGGGCCACTATTTTTGATTTCAACTCGCCGTCGAGTGACAAATCTTCGGACATTCCCCGATAAATCAATTTCGCTTCATCAAAATCAGGATGTTTGGTGTTGATGTACGCCAACTCAATTGCGACTAAATTCTCCACCTGCAACAAAATCATTGTTATAAACATGCAACAAAATCGTTGTCATAAACATTAACGTCACTAATTCGATGCTGTTACAGCGCTTAATAATGTTTGATTACCCATACTTAAACCGTAAACAATCCCTGATATCATAAACAATGTTTCACGTTAAATGTACACTAAAATGATGAAAGGAAAATCGGCTCGTACGTAAACAATGCATGAGTCATTAAAATTGAATCATCAAAAAATTTGAACCATTTGGTTGGTGATTGGCAATCTCCTCCTGAGTAATGTTGTTATCACATCAACGATTCGTTCATGCAACTTGGGAAATCGCAACATTTCTTGCTGTAAAATAATTGAACAAGGTTTAAAAAGCAAATAAAAAAGTTGTAAAACATTCAAATGGACGCGATGTTGTAACGGTAGTGCCTGGCCCTATAGGCGTAGATACGACCGCAATCAATTGGAGAGATCCCCGCCTACGACATGCAATGTGTCTGATGCGTTGTTTCACGTGTATTTGCATGCACCGCGTGTTCGTTGTTGATGCTTCTTTAAAATATTGAAGAGAGAAGGAAATAAATGAACGGCCAATAAGAAAAACAATATATTATATAAACAGAAAAAAAATAACAACTACAATATAGGACCAAATAGTTAAAATAAATTATATTTATAACAAATGCGGTCAGATTAGTTTGGAAGGATGCATTGTTTGATTGATTGTTTTACAGTCCTGGGCATGACATAAAACTGCATCCAAGCTGCCTTGCGTGCTTTTGAGCAAAAGGCTAGGCCCACCGCTTATTCGTCAGGATGGGTGTCCGGATGTAAAAATTTTCCCCAAATTATTTCTATGCCATCAAAAACAAACCAACATGAAAATGCTCCGATGGATGCAACGAATTAGTCTGAAGGACCACATCAAATCTACCGAAATCCTGCGTCGTGCTGGTTTAGATGATATAAAGGACGAATGTCGGCAACACCGTCTGCGGTGGTTTGGTCATGTCAAACAAAGTGGATACAGTGCCATAACTTCTCTTGCAGATGTTGAAGTACCTGGCACACGTCCCAAAGGCCGTCCAAAGGAGTCCTGGTCGCAAACAATCGAGCAAGACATGAAAGCTCTAAATTTAAACGAAATGGATACAACAGATCACCTAATTTGGCGCAAAAAATTGATGGCAAAGAAAACAACGTCCTACCTTGGGGAACTGGATCTCCGGACGCTAAACAAAGGTTGATTTGATTGATTGATTTATAACAAAGATAAGAGTTTTCAAATTCTTCTTAGCCACCATTTTTCAACTCCAACTATCTCAGCGATTTTGGCAAACTATTCCAAGCTATTGGTCCTGACTCGACCATATTTATAGGTGTTCTCTGCAGGCGGGTGGATGGGACGACTAGCAAATTGTCATCATCTGATCTCAGTTAACCCACAAGAAGACGATGATTTTTTCATTATTTTGTCAGTTAACTATTACGGCATGAGCCCATTTACGGCTTTATACATTACGACACATTTCTCGTAGATGACTTTTTTCTAACTGTAAGCCAATGAAGATTAATCAAAAAAGTTGTCACATAGTCGAATTTCTAAACACAGACAATAATTGTTGCAGCAGCTCTGTTTTGAATTGACTGAAACAAAGAAATGGATCTATCTGCAAATCCATGAAATTACGACCGTATATTAGCGTCAATATAGTAGATCAATGAAAAGACTTTCGGGGAAAGCAAGATTTTGAAAGCGCTTTTATATGGTTGAAAATGCATCCCAAGTTGGTAGCTTTCTTACAAAACTGTATTTCATTGTTCTCGATTCCTATTCTGATACTTTTAATTATTGGTAGTCGCTGCCAGGCGCCTACAGCTAAGAACTGCGATTTGTTTTGAATTCATTTAAGGCAGTTATTGCACATTAACACATCTACTTTAGTCACATATATGGTTCATACTAATAGACATGTTACGTAATTATGGTTTCTGAAACGTGACTTGGCTTGTCTACAAGATATGTCTATAAATCAATCCTGGTCTAAAGCAAAAATCGCACATCTCAAGTTTTTATGCGATTTTTAAATTTTTGATAGATTAAATAAATTAATGATAAATGAAAAATTTGTCACGTAACAAATCTCGAAACCCCCGCCCCTTGGAAGACTGCATAATACACGAACAAGTTTAAAACAATAACAAGAAAAAAATAAAAAAAACATTTGAATAGATTAAATTAAGTTAGAAGAACGAATAATGTAAAATGTAATAAGTAATAAAATCCTAAACAATTGAACCTGTGTGCCACAGTGTTGAATGATTCTTTGCAATTCCTCGTGAACTAACTCAACACACCTCAAACCTGGTTCTTCTAATCTGCGTATCTGTCTTTTAACTAACAACTCAAAAGAAACTTCTGGAACAAATAATGCTGGTCGGGGACCCTGAATGAATTTGAAAATAAAACAAATTTAAAAAATCTTTCATAGTTTTTTATTGAGCTTAAAAGAATATAGTAATTTTAAAATTTGATCGATTAAACAAAATTTACTATGTAAAAAAATGTTAGAAATATTGAGTGGTTATGATAAAGAGGAGATGTATCAATGATTGATTCCGATAGCTTAATAGAACATATACATAATATGCTAATTACCCCTTACAACTCTCGGAGATGCTTTTTATAACGCTATTTACTTTATTCTATATATAAGGTTATAATAACAATTTGGAATTCAAAAAAAACTGTGCGGTTACTCTTCTTTTTAGAAAGTATTTTTTGTAATTCCAAATAATTATTATCACTCAATAATTTCTGATAATTTTTACAAAGTAAATGTTATTTGATCAATAAAATTTAAAAATTATTTTATTCTTTTAAGTTCATGCTATTTACGATTTAATTATTCCTGCTTTTGTTGCTCACTTCTTTCAACTAGTCCGAGAATGCTGTGACAACTAATGGCACGTTAACATAGTAATGAAGCCTTGGTTAAAACAAAAACTTTCGGCAAGTTATTGCCAATTAGCTTTGTAAAACAATTTTTAAACTTGTTAGTACTATAGATGGATAACATACAACTTTAATAGTTGCTAAGTTAATACAAAACATTGCGATGTTGCAATGATAAGTATTTGTACTTATCATTGCAAATACTTGCAATGATGATTGCAAGTATTATACTTGCAGCTATACAACTGTAATATTATACTTGCGGCACTCATCCACTAAACAAGTCAACGTGAAATATAAAAAACAATTTTGATGTTACAAAAAAAACTAACAGTAGCATTTCGGATGGCTGTAAGTATCTCAAGCTGTGTGAGGCCAACAAGAGGGTCAACTGATTTTAATGTTCGACCAAATGTTTCATGAAATATATAACAAATTCTTGCTCCACCACATCTAAAATATTTCCAAAAAATTTGAACTGAAGTTTTATTAAAAAATAGTACAAACAAGTAGCATAATCTAGGCACCTAACACTATTAAACTAATAAACAATAACCAGACTCTATCAAGAGCTAAAAACTAAATTGTTTATACTATGATTCATAAAAAAATAAGTTGAATATAGTAAAAAAATTATAAGTTAATTTTTAGCTGTCAATTTATCAAAATGTTAATCTAATTTGCTGCAACATTGCGGCAAGTTACTGGTGCAGCTCGTATCGTATTTCTTGATTTGTAAAGCCCTTCTTCAGAAAACAGAAGCACTTGGTTTGCTGTGAATTGTTGAATAAATGTTTCTTCTGAAGTTTCTTGAAAACATGTCGACCTTCGTAACTGAAACTCGCGTTGCAGATTTGATTTGAAACAGAAAATCACATCTTTAAAAAGCATGTTTTCAAGAAACGTCTGAAGAAACATTTGTTCAACAATACACAACAAACCTAGTGTTTCTGCTTCTTATACGGCGATCAATCTAGTCGATGCTTTTAAAACAGACTGAATATCGTCATAAAAAGATAATATCATTCTATACATGATCCCATCGCAGCAATTGACGTACAGGGGCGGATTACACAACGTTAACGGGAACCAAAACTTGAAATTTAACGGGGTTAATCAGCATCTGCGGTTTTCATGTCCACTTCTGCAGTGCGGATAAAAAAAATTAGTTGCCTGGGTAACAGCGATCTACCTAAGCATGCCCAGGCCTCACAGCTTAAACTGCATCATACCAGACAGCTCATAGTCAATAAAGGCGCTGTCCCACAGTGGCTGACTTATTTCATTAAATGCGTGGTCTTAAAACATTAACTAGAAAGGTTGAAATAAACTTGCTAGTTGGAATGTCAAAATTTTATGCCCCGATCTTTCTACAGATCTGATAAAGCTGGAAAATCAAAAAAATTGCCGTGACATACAGGAAGTTATCAAGCTCAAAATTGACATTTTGCCTAACTATAAGACGTGCTTGCTTAACAGTGGTTCCATAAGAAAAGTTAACTATACCTTCTACTGTCAAGATAAAAAAAGTAGATTCAAGGATCCATGAGGTCTGCTTTGCGGTTAAGAATAACTACTTCGCCTTCATTGAACATCTATTATACAGTTCATTGAGGTTATCCTACTCCTGGCACGATAAACATCATCAGTGCATGTGCCAAACGCTGTGTCCAACGTCTGAAGGAAAAAATCATTTTTATCAGATGTTGGAGGGTATCCTGTTTAGGGTGCGCAGGGCATATAGCGTCTTTTAGGTGAGACTTAAATGCTAGGACAGAAAGAATTATCAGAACTGGCTGATGAGTCTATTAAAATCGACAAATATATGTTAAATGAAAATAGTCAACGTCTTCTAAAGTTCTGCTCTCTCCATGGACTCCGGTGATAAAAGCTTTCTTTAACTGGATCTTGCTGTCGTCGACCACGGCGCATTGAGATTCGGACTACACTTCATCGCCAACAAAATCAGACTACAAAAGCATTTATACAAAGCTGCTCAGAGAACTTGACCAACTTAAAACCTGCTTCGATCAGTTAAAATTGTTAGCTTGATGACAGCAAAATTCAGTTTTAACTGTTTGAAGATCGTTCTTACAAACCTAAATGAAAAGGCAGAAAAGAAATTCAGAATGGTTCAATGCAAGCTTAACTCTGTAAAATCCTGTAAAATAAAGGCCTTCTTAGCACACAATCGGCCAGCAACCACTTTACATTACAGGCTCTTAGAACTGCAAAAAACAGTCAAAAGATTACACGTCATTGCACCAATCTATACTGGCTCAATCGGGAAGAAGCAATAACAAATAAAAAAAGCAATAGCCCTGGTGATCCAAAAATTGGCCATTGTAAAGTCAAAATCTGGTGAGATAATTAAAGTAACCGAAACAGAGAACCAACTTCAGCGTTGGACACAGCACTATCTGAAACTCTGCCTTACAATAAATGCGGTTCCAATACTGGCTTAGTAATGGGCTTGACATAAATCCGATGAAACATTCACTCATCATTGAAATACAAAGAAAGACTAGGTACCTAGAAATCTTTTTCAGCAAGAATTATATTATTCCCGTAATTAAACACAACCAAAACCAATTGTATTGGTTTACCCTAATATTATAAACAACAAATACAAAAATTATGAAACCATAATGAACAATATACGAAAGAAAATCCACCTCCCAAAACCAACAAATCAAGCTACTAATATACTACAAGACCCAAAATTGGCAAATCTGATAATCAAAATTAACACATCAACCAACAGTAATCCTCTTCATAAACATAGATCATCTATATCAATGTATAATTGATGATGGATGTGGACATCAAACTTATATTGGTATGACTACTACTACATTATCCGGAAGACCTACATGTATCTATCTAACAAATGACTACACTACACTCCAAATCAACATACAACAAAAAATTATACATGAGGATCTTGTTTCAGGGAGCACAGTAATTGAAGGCAACACATTCTCGAATCCCAAAAATCTCATAAGCTCTCTACAAGAAAATCAACCAACAATAAATAAAAAACTAAAATCGGCCTACCTGATAACATCTCAATCATTCAACTTACCACAACAATCTCAGAACAAAATTAACTAAACCACAACAAAAAAAAACATTAACAATCAACTCCGCTTTCTAAGCATTCATTTTACATATCCCTTTGTATTCTCTCACTTTTGTATCAAATTATATACAGTAGATAAAATCAATCAATTGAGAATTACGTTGATAATGACGTCTTGACGTTGAAACGTCTGCAAATAAATTATTCTTAAAAAAATTACTCTTGGAATTGGTAATACGATTCCCGATTTCGAACGTAAGAAGTTGATAAAACAGTTGGAAAACTTGAAAAAAATATTATGAATGAAAGTCAGGTAAACATTTATGAATATATATATATATATGAATAAATGTACTAACAATTCAGTTGTTTCAATATTTTTGGCAGTCCCTTCTATGGTGTTACAATAAGCAGCTGCAAACTTGGTAATAATTTGCAGAAGTAATTGCGGCTGAAAAATAAAGAGCAAATATATTGAAAAATTATGTCAACCTTGTATAAAAAAATTGAATTCTACTTTGTCTTGTACTTCATCGCCATAAGAATTTAAGAGTTGCTGGAATTGAGCTGCCATTACGTTGACACGTGTTTTCAAGTCAGGTAAACAATCCCTTATATGATGCATCAGTAACTGTTGAGACATTTTTAAAAATTCATATATGATGCTAAATATTTTTATAGATTGTTTGGAAAGTAATTTTTTCCGGATAGAAAATTTAATTATAATTTTTCGAGCTCAAATTCACATTAAGCCACTTAACCATTATGTTTTGAGAGGTAAAGAGGTGATGTAGCAAGGCTTATGAGTAAAAAAGTTAAATAGAATCTACGCAGTGTTTTTTGGTGTGGTGCCCATTTGAATATAGAATATTATAAGAATGTAAAATGCTGTTGAAACCAAAAAGAGATAAACCAATGTGTATGGAGAAGACCTGTTGACAGTACACTAGTGCTCGAACTGGTCCTCAAAACCTCAATCCGGCAATTTTGATGTCAAAGGTGCACCCCATTCTGGAAGGGCGGTTGAAGTTGATGAAGACCCAATGAAGACATTAGTTGATGCAAACTGGTAAATAACAACACGTGAAATCGGTGAGAGGTAAAATTTAGCTATGTCAACTGTTTATGAAAACCACTTGAAAAGCCTGGGTTTAACCTCGAAGCTCAACATATGGGTTCCACCAAAAAAATACGAAACCTCATACCAGTTTAGTCACTTGCCAAAAGTTTTTAGAGCTTGAATGGGACACAATTATACACTCACCATATTCTCCAGATTAGTTTTTGTTCGGTAACTGCAAAATTTTTTTTATCTTCTCCATAACTAAAGGGAGTCAAAAATCACCTGAATTAGTCTTTTGACAGTAAAGACCAAAAATCATGCTACTACAAGAAAGATGGCAAAAGATGCTTGACCAGAATGACCACTATAGAATATATTTAAATATTCATTCACTATACAAAAATTGCTTTTCATTTTCACAAAAAATTACTTTCCAAGCCACAAATATTTTCTAATAATAAGTAATGATGAAACCCAATAGTTTTGAAAAACTGTTGAAAAAGATGAATAAATGGTTTTAGAGACAAACACAAAACTAAATAAATTTTCAAAACTAAATAAATTTTTTGATATATCTGTAAATTATTCCTAACGATAAAAAGCATTAGACCTAAAAAGTAGAAGACCTAATATTTATAGCTAATATTTTTCCTGTCAACAAAACTATGATGAAATAAAATTTACAAATGTATAACTAGCCCTATTCAATGTTTTAGCAAGGTAGGGCGTTCCATTTCGGCCGGCCAGTGAAGGGTACCTTTTCTGTAGGAAAGAAGCTTCATCTTTCAATGCTTCTTGAATATCCTTCAATTGTTTTAATGTTTCAATAATCATTTAAGTAATTAATTCGAACCATCATTTAATACAATTTCATCATAAAAGGTTATCAATTTTATAAAACTATTGCAAACCTCCACTAGATAGAACACTGCCTTGATAAAATGAAACGCAAAAAATATAGTGGACGAACCTTCCGATTTATTATGTCAGCTTGACTCCTGTTGACCACACCGATGATCCCCAACTTGACTGGAATGACTTTGCCACAAAGAACATCAACAGCATCAGTACCATGATCCATTAAATCTAACTTTGTCACAACAGCCAATGTTCTCCTTCCTAAGAAAATGAGTTTGAGTGGGTTGAATGAAAACAATTCAGGATCAAAACAATCATTTTAACTTTATATAGAAGTTTTTAATAACAAAGTTATTGCATAAGACATTAATTGATACATAGCACATTATTTTATATAATACCAATTAGCAAAATATTAAAAATATAATAATGAAAGTAGTTATAAAAAATTATGGAACTCAACATTAATTAAACAAATAATCAAAATACCATTTAATAAAAAATGAATTACGTATAAAACTCGAATTAATGAAAAAAATTGAAACCATCAGGATCAACTTCTTTGGCTAGTTTGAGAGCCTCCGAGGTAGCCAGGTCAGTGTTTGCCGCAGTAACCGCCAATATAATTGAATGCAGGTTGCTGATGTATTTGAGACACATGTCTCTGATTTGAAACTCAATGTCGTCAGGTTGATCTCCCACTGGTACCTTGGTAATGCCGGGCAGATCAACCAAAGTCAGTGTTATCACGTGGGGTGAAAATATCTTCAAATGAATTGGATCACTGCATATTCCCTGCATTAAATAATTCAAATGCTAACAACCAGTACAACAATAGAGGTTCTACAGCATATAAAAAAGTTTTAGAAAAGTTTGAAACTGATAATGATTTTAAAATATAAATTTAAAATTTAAACATTTATGGCGGAAATTTTCGCCAAAGTATTCTTTATGCTTTAAATAAATTAGTAGCTATTATATTTTACGAGTTTAAATATACTTTTTATTTTTATAGTAAATAAAAAGAATATTAAAAACATTCTATTAACTTAACAAACAAATTAGTAGCATAGACACCTTCAATAAAGAAGTTATCTACAAACTTGTGCACATCAAAATATTTATTAAAAACGAAATATATTTCGTAAACAAATTTCCAACTTTTACTGGTGCTTTTAAACAAATTAACTAAATTTTCTATAATCTGTTAATGTTAAGTAACATATTGTATGCTCATAAAACTATCACCATACTTTGTCTGTACCACCTGTAATAATAGTAATTATTATTTAACTAATTATTATTATCAATTTAATTGTTGGCAATAATTATTGTTTTTCAAATTTTTTTTAAAGTGGGACAACATTAGATTCATTTGAAAGTTTCTCCAGTCGTCGTAAACAACACAATTCTTGCTTCAGAGTCGCTTTTATCAAGAACATCAACTTTCGTCAACAAATAAGCCATTGTTTTACAAGCTTCTTCATCATAAGCATCAAGATATGACCGTAGTTTTGCTATGCAAATTCTGCAGTTACGTTTGGATGCTGACAGGACTGACATAAGATGTACAAAGCTATGAACAAAGAAATCAGATGAACACAGATGACAGTGTTGCATCAGTCGCTTCATCTTTAATGTCATGCTTAAAAAAGGAAATTTTTCGTGACAAATAGCCAGCTATGAAGATGACTTTATGCTTCAATGGACATCAGATTTCAAGAATAATTCTGTCATTAGTACTGATATCATCAAAACATTCGTCCATATTGTCAAGGGTTTGGTAGCTAAGTGCACATTGTGTAAACGAGGAAGTTCTCACATGACCACCAGGCTCTAACATTATACTTTGCAAGTTGCCATAGACGATGAACGTCTGTGATATTTCTACTGCACCGTTGCCTGACCTTACCGAAAAACATTTTAAAGGATTTTGGCCAAATACTGAAGGCAGCTTATGTTGGAGCTGATGATCAGAAAGAAGTACCTCAGCAGCAGCGATGTCGAATTTGGTCGTCGCTACGGAAGCATCATCTGTAAAATTTGTGAGCTTGCATTGTCGTACACCAGGCCCATAGAGACAGCTTGCAATGACATCACACATGCATAATCAATCAATCCTCGTTTATAGTCTCAATCCGTTATGGGTCGGACTTTTTCATTCCATTCATCAGCTTCTGTCTCCAAGTCGATCTATCCATTGCGTTTGTCTCCTTGAGACCAAGTCCACCTGTATGGTCTGCGTCCAGGACCTCTTGGGCGGGTGCCAGGTACCTGAGGCTCAGTAACGGAAATTATTGTATCGTTTTCGCTTTCGATCTGTGGTGCATATGCAGAGAAAACAGTCAGTACCTGTTTTCCCATTCTGAGTTTAATCAGCATTAGGTGTGAGCTGATTCGAGTCACCTCCAGTACATTTTGTGCCAGTGATTCCCGTATGAGGATTCCCACTCCATTTTGGGCTGTCTTTTGGCCATTCCAGAACAACTTGTAACTCCCAATAAGACACACCAAAATTACACTCTTACGTTGCAGAATTTAAGAATGTACTGATGTAGAAGTAAAGTGAAACGTAACACTGTAGCGAGCGCCGTAAGTCCTTAATTAATTTAAGGTGTCTATGGTATATATATGTAATATTATTTGTTTTTCAAATTATTGTCAATTATACCATGTTTTTTCGTACAGGGCTTTCACATCACAGCAGCGTGCAACGAAACTGACCATTTTCAGTAAAATGTAGATCTTGTTTTGACTCAGTGGGCTGGTTATTTCGAATGTCTTTGAACACATGCAAATAGTCATGCTCTGGAAGATTTACCGGTCCTGGGTTACCAGAATTGTTATACAATTGTCACACACTATCAATCAATCAATCTTCGTTTTGCGTCCAGAGACCCGGTTTCCCGAGGTAGGACGTTGTTTTCTTTGCCATCAACTTTTTGCGCCAAATTAGACGATCAGTTGTATCCATTTCATTTAAATTTAGAGCTTTCATGTCTTGCTCGATTGTTTGCGACCAGGACTTCTTTGGACGGCAGGACTTCTTTGCACACTATAAATAAAAACATAATGCATCCACTGCTTTTCACAACCGATTAGACAGGTTTCAACAAATAACACCAAAATTGCTATGCATTGAGTTTAGTCACAGGAATGATACGAATAAAAAACAAAGTTCATAGTTGTAGCAAATTATCTCAAAACATAAAGCAGACGAAGATATTTGATCTGGGCATTTTGTGCATATCCCTTTATATGAACAGAACAGAGACAAAATAGAACAAGGATAAAACAGAACAGCAATAAAACAGAACATTTATTTTTGAATTTATTTACTCTTCACTACTTTCATTTATTTGTAATGGTAAGCGAAAAAGCTGTTTAATCACTGCTCTATTCTGTTTTATTTTGTACTTTTTTACCACAGGACTGATTGATTGTGACATTAAAATTTAAATTTCGGTTGTTTAAAAGTCATGAATCCAAGTTTTGTTATAATTTGTTATGAACCCAAGTTTAAAATAGCGAGCGCCGTAAGTCCTTAATTAATTTAAGGTTTCTACGGTACATAAATGTAATATTATGTTGTTTTTCAAATTATAGTCAATTATACCATGTATTATTACTTTCCCAAAGCATTTGAATATCAGGAAATCTACACGGCAGGAGTGAGAAGCCTCAGATCACTCAGGTTAACATCAAGCGAATCCCTCAGGGGCATCACGACGCCAACAGGTCTTGTGATTCTTTCTCTAATAGGACGAGCAATGCGTCCGGTCTGTGCAGAGATCCTGCACAGTACAATAACATGCAGTACTACTCACGGAAAGATAAATAATTCAGTAAGACTTGAATCTTCGAATGTATGTTCGTTGCTGTCTGGAAAGAGTATAGAAGTTACTGAAGGTTTATTGAAGAAAAAAGTAGACACTTGCTGTTTACAAGAAGTTAGGTGGAGAAATCAAGGAACCAGACTAATAAGGAGAATAAAAAGGCTAAAACAACAAACACAACAACACACGTTTATACGACATTTTCCCCGATATAGGGAAATCATAGTTTCATCATAGGTAGCCGTTTGGCTACTTATGATGAAACCTCGATCTCAATCTCGATCTCCTTATCAATGTCACAATGTCCTCATTCAGTCCCATCATCGACATCAGCTCTGTACCACTCCTCCTATCCTTCACTTTAACCCCACACATCATCCTCACCATAGCTCTTTCAGCCCTCTGCAGTACACTTTCCTCCTCTCTCCTCAACATCAAAGTTTCACCACCATATACCATCGCTGCTCTCACACATACTTTATATACCCTCCCTTTCATCTTCACTGATCATTTCTTTCCACACGATAGCCCACCCAGTTTCCTAAATTTCATCCATCCCACACGAACTCTTGCCGTAAAGCGATCAAACATCCTCCATCCGCGTTCAGCTTAACCCCTAAGTAAACAAAGCTTTCCACTCTTTCAATACCATCACTCAACCCCGTCCTTGCGTCCGTCCTATTAATCACACCATGAACACATTTCTTACATTTGAACGTGCCTTCCATGTCATTTAATAACATATGAATCAGGGCAGGTTAAGAGCACGGTAGATTTCATTTTAGCAAAAAGAGAAAGTTACAATATACAAAGGTAAAGGTAATCCTTTAGACTGTAGATCTTATAGAGCTATTAAGCTATTGGAACATGCAATAAAAGTGATGGAAAAAATTATGGGGCAAAGAAATAGGGACCAGGTTAGCATTGACTAAATGCAGTTAGGTTTTCCAAGTACAATTAATGCAATTTTTATTGTTAGACAAATTCAAGAAAAGTTCAGAGCCAAGAAGAAAATTTTATATTATGTTTTTTTGAT